ATTCCAAAAAGCACAGGCAAAACAACCACCACAACGACAACAACAACAAACAGCTTCAACCAAAGCCTGCTCTCTCTAGCATAAGGATCAGAAAAGGGCTAGCCTAGCAAGACAGAAAACGTTTTGACAATAACTTCTCTACTCCAGCCAGACACCAAAGAAGACACTATGGCCCTGTCCCCACTCAAACCAGCAAAGGTTTAGTGGGGAGCCTAGGATTCCACATTCAATTGGCAGAAATGGGGGCCACCCTGCCCCGCCCATGTCAGTGGACATCAATCCCGTGGAGATTCTGGAATTATACCTCCACCAGGCAGTAAGGAGGCAACCTTCCCTGTCGCTGGGATGATCTCAGGACTTTCACCACCACCCAGTGGTAAGGAGGCTACTCAATCCGTGGGCTAAAGAGAAAGTTTTCCAGTACATCAAGAAATGAATTGAACTGAATGGAAATGATTATAAAACCTATCAAAATCAGTGGGGTGAAGCTAAAGCATTGCTGAAAGGGAAATTTACACCATCAAGGACTTACATTAAGTAAAGGGAAAAGTATCACATCAATAATGTAAGTTCTCATCCCAGGAAACTAGAAGAAGGAGAGCAAAATAAACCCAAAGCAAGCAGAAGGAAGGGGATACTAAAGGTAAGCCCCCTAATCAGTGAAATCGAAAACAGGAAAGCAACAGAGAAAATCAATAAAACAAAAATCTGGTTCTTTGAAAAGATCCGTAAAACTTAGAAGCCTCCAACAAGACTGGCAAAATAAACCTACAATGATTCACCGCCTTTGCACGTATTTACTGAGTGACTTTAATAGCTATATTTGTGATACTTTTCATATAGTCTACTTTAGAAACCTAAGTACCTATGTTCTCAATATGTATCGTACAGTGGAAAGAAGAAGAAGAGAAACATCGGACCCTTGATGTAAAATGACAATGAAATTTCACTTCCGACATAACAGCTAGATTGCTGTCCTTCATGACAGAAGCTATTTTTTATCATATTTTTTGTAATTAGCTCAAATTCTTTCCTAAGTGATAGAAATGATTCCACAATATTGGTGCCACCAGTTCGATTCTGTAGGCCACAATCATGTCTTTGCAAATTGGAAAGTCCTCGGAGACAAAATGTACCTAAAGTATTAATTGGCCAGGGTCTCATGTCTCATGGCTCGTGTAATGGGAAAAATAATATATTTGAAATTTTTCAGATTTCGAATCAATTACTCCTTCATATTGTTGGAAAGGTCTTGTGTAATATGGACTTAGTTGAAGATCTCCTGCTTTTTGTAAAACATTATATACAGTTTCACAATTCTCTAACGTACGTTCTGTAACTGAAATAACGGTGTCTTATTATTACGTTTTTTTACCACGAGTCCATCTATAATCTTTGTGTGTGTGTGTGTGTGTGAGAGAGAGAGAGAGAGAGAGTGTGTGCACACAAGATCCAAGGCATTTTATAGCTGGCCAAAATTATAACCTCAGGTCCTCTTAACAATTGCCAAAACTGTTTTTTGTTGTTGTTGAACAGTTAAGCCTAATGTCGGGCAACAGATTTTGTCATTCTGTTTGCTCTGTTAGAGGAGATTCCTATCAAATTCATCCTATGGTTGCTTACATTTCTCTTAATACTGTCCACTTTGTTCTGTTTGTGTTTCTTTGAACACAACAAATAAACAGCTTTTCATCTTTCTCTGCTGCTGCAAACAGCAGCAGCAGCAAGAAGGTGAGGGGCAGAGGGCTGGAATGCTCGTCTTTATGGCAAAATGCCTGCCCATAAAAGTAGGAAAGAAGGATAAAAGTAGAAAACCACCGTTTCTCAACCACCAAAGTAATAATCAAATCAGACAAGAACCCTGAACGAAAACTAAGGCCAAGGAGTGAAATTTTTTTGGAGGACAGAATACCCACATGATATCAAAATATCACCCCACAGACTGCTTATAAGTCACAGGGGGACAAAGGCAGCTTTACAGTGGAGTGATCTGTCCAACAGATCACTTTAAATAAGTGGCCGACTGAGTAATGCCAATAGCAGCGCCGACAGCTAGACAAACTGACCTTAGGATCCTCCAGATGTGGTGTAACGTGAACTACTCATCACCTATTTGACATTCTTGCCAAAACTGTTAAACGTAAATCGGAACAAGAGGACAATATCAGGCAAACCCATATTGTGGACGCTTTACAAGCAAACAGGCCTAGGCTCTTGGAAAAGCTCATCGTCATGGAAGATTTAGGATGAGGGACTGTTTGGGACTAGAGGATAATAAAGAGACATGACAACAAAATGCAATGTATGATACTTGATTGCATTGTTCATCCCCAAAAGGATATTATTGGGACAATTAGGGAAATATGAATACGGACTGTCTATGGACTTAGGTGATAACATGCCACTGTTAAATTTCTCCAACGTGATAACAGTATTGTGGTTAGATCGCAGAATATCCTAGTTCTTAGGAGATACATTCTGAAGTAATCGGATGAAGTATTTGGAACTGTTAAGTGGGAAGCGAAAAGGAAAAGGAGAGATAAAGCAATGGGATACCGCGAATCTAGGTAACAGAATGTGCACTCTTCGGTTTTGTGCGTTTTCAAAATAAAAGGTTGAGGGAAACAGGTTGCTCATATTTTAGAGTTGTGCACTGAAATATTTACCAATAAAATAAGATGATTTCTGGTATTTTCTTGAAAATAATCTGGAAGAGGGAAAAGGGAGAAGACATATATGAAATGAGCTTGGCCACGAGTTGTTAATGGTTGCGGTTGGGGGATGGATAATTGGCGGTTCCTTCACTATTCTCCATTGTACAGTGGTTCTCAAAGTGTGGTCCCCCACCAGCAGCATCTGCATCACCGGGGGAATTGTCATAAAAGCGAACTCTAGGTCCCACTCTGGATTTTTAAATCCGAGACTATAGATGTGGAGCTCAGCAATCTGTGTTTCAACAAGCCCTTCGGGTGATTCTGATGCAAGCTAACGTTCCAGGACCACTGCCCTACTGTAACGAACCTGGAGATTGTAAGTTTGTATACAAAATCTAATTTGTATATGTTTTTAAATTATCCACAGTGCAATCTGTTGTTGAAAATAAAGAAAGCAGGCATCCCAGCTGTTTAGCGGCCAAGTTTTAATAGAGTCTCAAGACAGATAATCCTAATCTTATACAAACACTTCCAGAGGATAGAAAAGAGGGACTACCCCCCAACTCTGTCTATAAGCCCAGAAAACCTTGACCCTGGAACCAGCAAAGATAGTATGATAAAGAGAAACGCCAAGTCAATCTCGCTCATGAAGAGAAGACACAAAAATCCTAGGCAAAACTTTGGCAACCTGAACCCACCGGGATACACAAAAGATGATACACCATAACTAAGTTACATTTATCCTAGGAGAGCAAAGCTGGGTTCACATTAGAAAAACCATAGATGGAAGGGGGCATGAGAGAGGTCTGTGTGTTGCTGATACGTTCTGTTGCTTGCTCTAGGTGCTAACTGAATGTGTATGCTTAGTTTTTGAAAACTCATTAAGATACACACATGGTGTTTGTCTTTTTTTTGATTATAAGATAAACTTCACCGAAGATTTTTTAAAAAATCTTTAAGTAACACTCACTGTATTTTAACGGATTAAATGAATAGAGCCTTGATCATTTCAATAGAGGCAAAAAAGTAGAATTCAATATCTATGCATGATTTTTAAGACAAATTAAACTAGGAATATAAGGGAAGTTCCTTGATCTGACGAAGGCAAAGAAAGGAAAAAAGAGGGAGAAAGGAAGAAAGAAGAGACAAAGAAAGAGAAAGAAAGAAGGAAGGAAAGAAAACAATGAAACACAGCAAACCCATTTTAATATGGAAGTGTTGGCAGCATTCTCTTTGATGTTGGGAACAACCCAAAGGTGCCTAATTTTGCCATCGCCATTCGACTTGGTAGTGGACGTCCTAGCCAGCACAGCAAGAAACCTGTAAGTTGATTTTTGCACTCCTGTTACTCACAGATTCACAGAAAGCTGCAGAATGCCGATAGACAAATTATTAGACAGCACAGAGTTTAGCATGGTGGCTGACTCTAAGATCAATATACTTTTTAAAAAGTCGAGTGGATTTCCATAAATTAGATACAAATAGAAAATGTCTCTTTTGAACAGATACGAAGTATAAGAGCAACAACACTCTAGAGTATCTTCAGATAGATACAATAAAAGATGTACAAGATCTGAGTGTACAAAAGGTAGAACTAAATACTAAACTTAAAGATGAAAACGTTAAAGGAGACCCACATAAATGGAGGGGCATCCCATGTTGGTGACCAGGAAGGCTGGATAGCCTAAAGATAGTAAACTCGCCCCTAACTGATCCATAGATTCCACGAAAAGGCAATCCAAATCTATTGCAAATGAGTTTTCAGGGAGCATGACATGCTGATCCTAACCTTTATAGGGAAGGGCAAAAGGCAAAGAACAGCCAAGATATGCCTGGAGATGATGAATAAGATGTAGGGACTTTCCCTGCCAGAGATCAAGGTGTCTCATCAAGAGATAAAAATTAAGCCAGTGTAGTATTGGCGCAGGAATAGACAAATTTATCTGTGGTACAGAACAGGGAGCTCAGAGACAAATACGGACCAAAATGACTCCAAACACTGCCAAATGTTCCCAGCGGGTGCAAAATCGCCCCCGATTGAGAATCCCTGACACAGGAATATGGATCAACACACGCTGAATTTTGCAAAAGTAAATCACAGATTACCGAGGACATGAGTGAAAAATGCATGCACATACAATATTTCACAGCCAAAGAGCGAACAGTCTGGGAAACAAGGCTTGCGGAGCACAGCGCTGCACTCCGCTTCACGACTTCCTGGCTGGCCTAGTAAAGCGAGCATGCGGAGAAGCGGGAGGGAAGCGAGGGGGCGGGACTTTGTCGGGTGAGCCTCGGTGGAACTCGAAGCTCATTGGTCGCCCGCCACAGCGGTGAGAAGCCGCAGGCCGGAAGCTCATTGGCCTTTGTGGAAAGGGCGGGAAAGGGAGCGAGCACTGGGTCTTCCCTCAGGCCTCTGGTGCGGAGCCCACTGATTCCGACCTGCCGAAGGCTGAGGTAACCACAGGCTGGCATCAGAAATATGACCCTCGTTCTCCACGCCCCTTCTTTTCTCCTTTCCTCCTCTCTGGATCCCCAGCCCTTTTTCCTGTCCTCCACCTCAGTGGGGAACCTCCGCCCCCTCCCGCTCCCGCTATCCCGCTCCGCCCCTTCCCCGTCCTGGGTGGAACCGCCATGGTGGAACCGCCGTAGGAGGACGCCTTGCCCCAGCCCCCTGACCCCTGGCTTCTGGCTCCTGGGGCAGGGCTCATGCCCCTGCGTTTGATTCTGAGGTGGGGGCAGCAGCGAATGACTGGGCTGCCTGAGAAGAGGTGGTGCAGTCCAGGTGTGGGAGTGGGAGAAGGTGTGCTCAAGTATAATTGTTGAAGCCTGGAGAGGAGTGTGGATGATTGTTGGGAGGCTGTGGAGAGAATGCGTGGGTTCGCATAAAAGCAGCAAGGGTGTGTTGGTCCAGGAAAACAATTAGCGCAACGCAGAGTCGGCTGTTGACTAGATCAGAGTCTGGCATTCGATAGGGGGCTCAACAAACATCTATTCAGTGAATAATCGAGGAGATGAATGAAAATAATTATCGAAAGAGGGGCTTGGAACCCAGCAGAATAATATGATTTCATGGGGTGTAAAGGGATGTCAGGTTAAAGAGGGCGCAAAGGAATAATTAACGTTATGGTAGGGTGCAAGAAAAGAATCAGAATGGAGTGTGAGAGGAAAACTGAATGGAGGGCATACATGAGACTAATAACAGAACTGAGTGCAGCGGGCATAGAATCATGAGTAGGGAGTGAATGAATGTAGGATGTTAGGAAGACAGTTGTGGAAGTGGGTGCCGGGAATGATAGTCGGGAATAGCAGAGTATGGGATGATACATGAGAAGGGGGAGTGGTAATTGTTGAAGGGGGCACGAGAGTGCAAGTGTATGCCTGAAAAGGGGGTCTATGTGGAGTGAAGGTAAGCAAGGAGACTAATAATTGGGTTGAAAACAGACAGGACCCATGCCAAGAGTTTCTCGGAATGAGGCTATGTGTGAGTGGGGCTTCCTAGGAATGACACTACCCCTACATAAGCTTATGTAGCTCGTGAGGCTACATAAGCAAGAAGGGAGGTGCAATCTGATTTCAGTGGCGAGCTGGATGGAGAAGAATCCAGCCGCCTCAGGTGAGGTTTTCCAAGGGCAGAGGAAGTACCTACGTTGGGGGTAGGGGATCATGTGGCCGTCCTGACCTCTGCTCCTGGCCCTAGAACCATGGATCCCAATGAAATGCCTGCTGTGCACTGCTGCCCCTCTGACTCCACCAAAGGGCTTGGGACTGGATTCCCATGGGGGATTAAAATTGTTCCCAGAAGAGCTATAATTCTCTGTGCCCGCTGCCACAACCATGGCATCACTGACCAAATCAAGGACCATGAGCACTGCTGCCTCTTCCAGACCTGCAAGTGTCACAAGTGTGTCCGCTTCTCGTGAGTATGGTGTCTGATAAGGGAGGGGAGAGAGGGCCGGGCCTTCTCTAAATGTGACCGACTTTAGACCTGCAATCCCCCACTTTAGGCAACACTGCACGGTCTCGCCTGCTGAGAGTGCCTTGAAGAGGGAGCAGAGGGTACACCTAAAGAGGCACCTGGCTCAAGGACTGATAAGGAGTGGGGCCGCCCCTCCCAAAGCTCACCGCCGTGTCGAGAAGTTGGCCATCCAAGGAGGAGTCCCCAGTGAGTGTCTCGGGCCAGAGAGAGAGCCTGGGTTTGGGTGTAGGGAGCATGAGTAGTTCTGTCACCAGTTCTATCACCCAATCTCGATGTGGCCTTGGGCAAGTTACTCTTTGGGCCTTTGCGTCCCCAACTATACAATGCCATCAAGATTACCCACCAAGTATTGGTGGGGAGGAGAGATCTGGGGGCTCAGAGAGGTCCACGGTGAGATGAGGCTGCACATTGGGGGTGAGGCTGAGTGGAGTGGGGTCAGGAGGAAAGGCTCACCTAAGCTGTCCCCAGTCTCTCACAGCTGGGAAAGAGAACATCATGCCTCAGCTTGAGGCCCACCCCTGTGCAACCTTCGAGGAGGTAAGGAGAGTCTGGGGCCAGTGGGAGAGGCTCCCACCTCAGCCGCTGCCCAGACCCCTTCCTCTGTGTCCTGAAGACCTGGGTTCCATCTCTAACCCTGGTGCAACTTGCCATGTGACCCTGGGGAACAAATGCTTCACCTCTCTGTGCCTCCATTTCCCCAGTTGCAAAATGAAGTGTAGGACTGGCTGGTCTTCAAGGTCTTCCCCGCTCTGACATTCTGGGCTCCTATCTTCATTCCAAAACATGCCCACATCTCTTCACGGCCGGCCTGGTACCTGACTCCAACCCGTGCTCTCTGCTTCCGCAGGCAAGCTCCCAAGGGACTCTGCTGATTGGTCAGGCCCCAGAATTTTTGTCTCTATCCTGGACTCCAGCACCCTTGAAGAAGCAACTAACAATTTCACTTTCCAGGGAGCCCCACAGGCTCCCTACTCTGCCCAGCACGTGAGTAGAGTGAGAAGGACCATGGAGCTAGTTATGTATTGTGTGACTGGGTGCCCAACCTTGTGTTTGATGCCACGGGAGATAGAAGGAGGAAGTAGAGGTGACGGTAGTGGTGGCACGGCGTGGGTGGTGGCAGTGGCGGTGGCGGCAGTGGAGGAGGAGGAGGAGGTGGAGGAGGACGAAGGAGAGGAGGAGGAGAGGAGCAGGAGGAAAAGCAGGAGGAGGAGACGGAACTGGAGGAGCCAGGGAGGAGAAGGCAGCATCTCAGAATAACGGGCAAGGACAGGACTCTCCCAGCTTTGCCATTTCCTATTTGTGAGACTTTGGACAGGTGACTTGGTGCTTCCGAGCCTCCATTTCCCTATCAGTGTACTGACAGGGGACAATATTCTACTCCTATAGCATTGACAAGAGGACTAGCACAAGGCCTGCCACATAGCAGGCCTTTCAACAAATTAGAGGCTGTTATTCCACATGAAACAGATTGATGGGATAGAAGGTCCTGCTGAAAAGGGGAGCCATGATGGCGAGGGCCACAGAGGCCCAGGCGAGGGTCCAGAGGCCATTAGCGAAAGCTGCCTGGAGATAAACCAAGCTGGCCCTTCAAGTCCCGTGGGGATTGGGGAATATGGAGGTGAGAACCAGTCCCTGGACAGGGACGGTAATCACGCCTCTCCAGGTGCTTTGCAGGTTAAAACACAGACACCTGTGATTTCCCATAGACTTCACTGTTGCCCTGGGAGTTTTGAAAAAGCTGGCAGGAATTAGCGTCTCAGGAAAGATATGGAAAGAAGATATGAAAAGATATAGAAAAGAAAACAGGCCGAGCAGGGAAGGGACTTGCTCAAGCCACAATGACTAATGGCCAGCAGGCTTTCAGACTCCCACATCCAGATACTGCAAAATCCTGCCTCTCTCTGTCTACTGGCAGTATGTGTCTGCCAGAGGGCTTAATCCCCTGGCCTCTCCTTTCCTTGTTTCTAGACACTCAACTCTGATCCTCCAGGTCTGTGCCACCCTTGACTCCATTCTACCGCAACCACAGATCCTGGGAAAATGGTGGGGTCCAGAACCCTGGCAGGGGCTGAGCTTAGTGAATGGGAAGAGCAGAAGGCCTCGGGGTGGGTGGGGCCTTCACTGGAACTGGAGACTGGAGGGGCACTTGTTGCCTGTGGGTTCCCAACTCCCATTCTCTCACACCCTTTCCTTTTCAGGCACCCAAAGCTTCTGACCGGGACCTGGGTCCTGCCTCCTCAGAGTGGCAGCGGAAGCTGGAGGCGGCCGAGGCTCTGCTGACTCTCAGATACTCTTCCCAGGCCCCTTCTGGCTCCACCTCCCTGCTGCAGCCCTGTGCTGCACCAGGTAGCCTGGTCCTTGAAAGGAGAACACGGAGTGGGAATAGTTGGGAAATAGGAGGGCACTGTGATAAGCAGGACCTAACTGGGAAGTCAGGGTTAGTGGGTTGAACCTCCTTGGGCCCAGGCACCCAAGCTCCTCAGCCTGATGCCTGAGATGGCAGTTGACGGTTGTTCAGTGAATCATCAGTTCATCGAGCTTTGTGCTCGACAGCAAATGTTCAGCGCTGTGACGTCAGGAAACAAGGAACCTGAGGCCCTGAGAGCAGCAGGGACTTGCCCTAGAGCATGCAGCATATCAAGTGGAAGAACCAGGTCTCCTGACTCCCAGCCCAGAGCTTTCTATCCAGATCCCTGCAGTCTGCTGTGGTCTGGGGAGGACACACATGGGTGATAAGAACCTGGTCTGGAAGGAGATCTGGTCCCTACTCTTCAGGGAGCTTCCAGTCTAGATGTGGAGCCTGGTTGCCTTCACAGGTCGTATCTTGCAGCTAAATCTCAACGATGAGCCTGGAGACGAAGGACGGCAAGAGGCCTGAGAAGAGATACATACCTGGGGAGGCTGAGAGGGAAGGCTGGGTGCTCCCAGGCCAAAACGGTGGGTGGGATACGGTGTGCGAGTGAAGCAGCAACCCTGGAGGAACTGCCGGAACGGAAAGGGATGAGGCTGGAGAGGCTACCAATCATGGAGATCTGGCATGCCAGGCTTAGGAGGCTAGGCCAGCAACTGTGGGTGGTGAGGGGCCAAAAAGCGTCTGAGCTAGGGAGGAGCACATTCGTAGACCCTGGGCTTGACAGAAAGAAATGTGGTGGCTGTGATGGAGGGATTGGAGGAGGCGAGGCTTGAGATGGGCAGATCAGTGAGGAAGAGTTCTGTGCAAGAGTCCAGGTGGCAAATGTTAATTGGGGTGAAAGGAAAAAGGAGGGGTGAGCCTGGAGGGGAAATGGGTGTGACCCGGCCCTGACCTCTTCCTTTCTGTCTACAGCTCCCGCTGGAGATCGAGGACTCCAGCCCTCCTAGCCCCTCTCCCAGACCCAGGCTGGTCAGCTCCATTTCTCTGCCTATTGGACATCTGGGGTGCATCTCCCTCTTGAAGTAGAAGCCCAGAGGAGGAGGCCTCGCTAGAGTACTGCTTATTTATGCATTTGCAAAATGTTTAATGTCCAAAATGCTTAACATCTTTTCGTTAAACCTTCAGGTGCTTTTATAAGCTTTCAGACCCTTTTTATTACATGGGGCAATTCCTTGGCTGAGGGTGGGTATTCTTGTACCTCCATCCCTTACTCCCTTGGATCCTGGGGCCTTTTTGCGTCTCTTATAAAAACAGCGTTGTGCAATCTAAGCCGATCAGTCTCGAAATAGGGTTCTGCGTGAGTTCATACGTTCATATGCCAGGGTTTTTGTTTGACTCGTGATTGCGAACATACCAGCGCGCTCATGTACGTACCCACGCATGTGAAAATATGAGGGTGTTTTCATCTTGTGTCTAGCTTTGTGTGTGTGGGCAAATAATAAACCCTTGTTGTTGTAAGGCACTGAGATATAGGAGTTGTTTGTGACCACAGTATAACCTGGACTGTCCTGACTCTAACAGACTTGTTCAATTCACTTTTCAAAGTGAGACTCACGTTACTCAACAACTGGGATTTCTCAACATGTCTAGATAAGAAAATGGCAGAGAAAAAAGGGTAGGAGATTTATTCGCTCAGCAAGTAAGTGCCTACCCTCTGCCTGGCACAGACTGTTTCCAGTTGCCCAGAGGGCCACACACTGAAGTGTCTGCAGGATGAAGCAGATCGTATAAATGAGCAGAGCAGGCCAGACGGGCTCCAGCCAACTGACAGTGCATGCTCTACCTAAGGGGGCAGCTGCCACTTGGCTCTAGCCAATTGTGGTCATGCAGGAATGTGGACTCATTGTTGCCACATCTCCTGATTTTTCAAGAGAGGGTGGAATTCTAGATTTCTATGTAAAACATCTCAGTTTTAAAATGTTGACTCTGGTTTCCTCTTTAAGCTCTATACGTGGGCCAAGCAAAACATCCATGCAGGCCAACTTTGGCCAACAGAATGCCAGTTTGATTCTGGTCCAATGTGTATTTTACAGTGGGGGAAACTGAAGCCAATCAGCACAAGAAGAATCAAAGAGGGAAGATGAATTAGACCCAGAGCTTACCTTTGAAGGACCCACAAAACATGAGGAAGAATCATTACCATTTACTTATTCCGTGCCCACCGTATGCTAAGCGTGTGTAGCCTCACAGCAGCTCTGTAAGCCAAGCATTATTACCACCCTTTTGCCTATGAGGAAACGGTGCTCAAAGAGTAAAAGTAACTTGCACAAGTCTTTGAGGGGAAATTTTTAGCCGAAGATGGGGAGAGGCTCCCTTCTCTTTGCCAGGCCTAAATTAGCTAGTAATTTGCTTTTTTTGTAAAGCATTGAAAGAAAGCTTCAAAACTTGAAGCGGCAGACATCCAGTCAGAGGGGTCTCTCAGAAATGGTCCCTTCGTTTCATACTCAGGGTAACAACGTCTGGTAATCTATCAGATCTTACCTGCACTTGTCTCTCAGTCCTCTGCTGATGTTCCAAACAAACGAAGACCTGGAGACCCCGCCAGGAGGACAGAAAACTCAACTGGACATGCCCAGTCACTGACTCTTTCCCATCATGTTTCCTCCCTCCTTCCTTCCCTCCCTCTGTTTTCACCCAAGATGATTGATGGTGATGACATCCGATTACGACTTATTCTTTCTTGCTTGAGGCCTTGAGACGGCAGGCTTCTTATATCCTTTATCTGATGCCAGACACACAAACATGCAAAATCACTCAGCACATAGAGGAAGACTGACATCCATCTCATGCCTGCCTTCCTTCCCTGACTTGTTACTTAAATCAGTGATCCCTAAACCCCTCCTCTCCCGGTATCAGATGAACAAGTCCACATATTCACGGAGGAAGGAAGCAGTGTTATCTGGAAAAGGACTAAAGCCCTGCTGCGCAATTGTGTCCTAGGCATGCCACGGCTCCAGAGCTGAGGCGGTAAAAGAGAAAGTGTATTTTGGGTTAAAGGACGCGGCTTGAGAAGAGGGAGGAGAAGAGAAATAAAGTGATGGAGATTGGAAGAAGGAGTGAGCCTCTTTTCCCTGTGTCCTTTCATTTTTTCGAGTCTCACCTGCCGTTCCATGCAGGGCTTTTTAGACTGACGTGTGTGTGTGTGTGTGTGGGCGTTGCACCATACCTTTTCAAAAAGTCTCTTCATGGCGTATTATGGGCATCTTAGGACATCGTCGTAAGTGTTAAATATCAAATCTTTTTTGGGAACTATCCTTTTTCACGTACTACTCCAGTTCACAGATTTAAAACATCACTTTATAAAACAGTGTGAGTTAGGTCTTGGCTCTCCTGTGTTATACAACAACATTGGTTGGACCTGAGGATATCCACCACATCAGAGCGCCTGGAGAGTGGATCAGTTCCAACCAGTCGTATGTAGGTAAATGTTCAGCAACAGGCTCTCTGGGAGAGGGAGGGAAGTTAGGGGAAATGCCCAGTGTTGTAGCATTTTCTGGTTTCAAGCTGCCAGTACGATGTCAATTAATGCAGAGTTGGGAAGAGATGCATTTCTACCATTCAGATACAATAAATGTACATAACCTCAAGAGCACGGGTAATAGTAAAATGTAGGAAAATAACCAGAGATTGGTGAGGTTAGAGTATGTATTATGTTTGTTTTTGATATCATGTATGTAATGTAATTGTTGCTTTGCACAATTTAATTTTTAACAACAGCTGCGTTTAAGAGCCGGCTCGCAAAAATTTCTGAAAATTTAACAGTCAGCTCTTGTGTTCCAGTAAGAGTCCCCTCCAGCACTCCACTGCTTTGGACTCTTGCCCAGAAAGGCGCCTCTTCCAAAGCAGGTCACATTAACGCTGCAGAGCCGTAAAGGGCTGCTACCACTGGTTTCTGACCAAGAACAGCCTGAAGTGTGGGGAAAGTATTTATTAATAAAGAAATGGAATGATCTGGAACAAGTATTGAGCAGAATAAACTGTCAAAAGCCTTTATGGGCGAACGCGCATTCTCGGAGGTGACCAGCGTTGGGTAAAGGTGAGAAGTAGGGACGACAGACAATAAACAAAACTCATGCAGGGCTGTGTTCAACAGATTTCTCAAAGGCCAAATGAATGGGGCAACTGGCGTTGCTGGATCTGTATCTCTCCTCAGAGAGACAGACATTCATTACACTCCCTCATCCTTCTTAGATAAATGCTGCATGATCTACATAAACTTCTCCACCTTGCCTTTTTTCACTTAAAAATATATCCTTCGTTGTTAAGTATAGGCACTATGTTATACAGCAGATGTCTAGAACATAGTCATTTTGTATAATTGTAGCTTTATGCCCATCAAACAACAACTCTCCGTATACCCCTCCCCCCACCCTTTGGCAACCACCGTTCTATTGTCTGTTTCTGCAAGTTTGACTATTTTAGATGCTTCATATAAGAGGTATTGCGCACTTAAAAATTTGTTAAGAGGGTGAATCTCATGTTAAGTTTTCTCATCACAAGAAAGCGAAAACAAAACAAAATAAAAAAGGGACACAAGGAGACTTTCGAGGGTGATGGATATGTTTATTACCGTGATTGTGGGGGTGGTGACACAGGTGTACGCATGTGTCCAAACTCACCAAATTGTACACATTAATACGTGCAGTTCTTTGTATACAAATTATACCTCAATAAAGCTGAAAGAACAGTATCTTTGAGATCACTCCACGTTGCGGTGTAGAGACCTCTCTCACTCCTTCCAACAGCTACAGAGTACGCCATCGTGTGGACGTTCCATAATTTAGTCAACTCATCTGCTATTTAAAAAAATTTTTTTTCAATTATTTCATTGAGATCATAATGGTTTATAACATCGTGTAATTTCAAGTGTACATTATTATTTATCGGTTTCTGTATAGACTGCATCGTGCTCACCACCAGTAGTCTAATTTTT